AAGTATAGTAGTGTTTTGTAAATATCCAAAATCAAATTAAACTTAAGTATAGTAGTGTTTTGTAAATATCCAAAATCAAATTAAACTTAAGTATAGTAGTGTTTCAATTAATATTCCAAAAAAAAGTCTTTCTAAAAGATCTTTCCTCCTAAAGTTCAATTTCCTAAACAAAGAAAATAAGTAATAAAAATGAGAAAAAAAATTGTTTGGTTAAGTGACATTACTTCAAGAAGTTTAATGTATGGTCTAAATTCTCAACAGAAGATTCAAGTACTCTGATTGATCTGTGTAGAGAACTATGAAGAACAAATTCAGCAGCCTGTGCATGAATAAAATATTCAAAAGATAATGTATTAAGGCAACTTTGCTAATTTATTACCTGAATAAAACAGATGAATTGACTAAAAAAAAAGGATTTTTGGATTTTAGCTGCCAAAATAATTATTAGTTTCACTTGTTTGCAGATTATTCTAAATTTGAAGGATTCTTTTTAACTCATCCTTAATACATGACAACTGTTGTACATATGAAAAGTTCAGAGATATTACTTCTCTGCATCATGAAGAGCTATTTCCTGCACATGCTACAAGCCTTGAATAAACTCTCATCCCTACACATGTTTGTGTGTATTGTGCCAGATGATGACTTAATCATCATAATGCTGTAGCCCTCCACCAATAGGAGGATGACACAATCTCCATTCACAGTAATCTCTGTGAGCGCTAACACATAATTATAGGTTCATTCTTTCCTTGGCACTGCCTGTGTTCAGATGTTATTTTCTTGTACTTTTCAAGTTTTTAGTTGCTTTGATATACTGCCTTTCTTTAGTTAGTACTACATTACTTTTGTCCATGTTTCACATTTGTTCCATCCACCTGATTGCAACTTAATTTTCTCTAGCCACCACACTTCTTCTTTGTGCTACTCAGTGGTACCTCTTCTTCAGGCTTTGAAACTTTTTTGGGCCTTCATTTCCCCCCTTTACACACCTGTAGTTTTCTTTCAGTGGTGACCCTTTTGTTGTGCATGTTCTTTCTTCAGGTTTTTCCCTGCTTTTCATACTCCACCTCCTTTTTCTTCATATCCTCTCATCTATCCTTTTTTTCTCTGATCCTTTGCATCTTTGACATTTTCTTGGGAGTTTTCTTGATTCTTGTATCAGTAAGGCTCTACCATCTCTTTTACATCTTCACACCATAGAGAACCTGGTGTTCATGGCTTTTTAATATCCTTTCCTTCCTGCGAATGAAGTTTCTTGTTTTTCTGACCAAAATTTGGAGGGCAAAACAAGCCATATTATATTTGTGTAATTTTAAAGGGAATTGTTTAATCACCCAAATTTTAGCATACTAAATCACATTGAGCCAACGTTAGTTTTCAGATATGTCTTTGTATTGAGTTTTGAAGCCTCAAAGTACTCACAGACTTTGGAAAGGATCAGAAGGATTTTACTCATTGTAGCTTATCTAGAAAATGTTTTTTTTTGGGTGGGGGGATAACAAGTTCCTTTAAAAGGGATTGATGAATAATGGTCAAAAGCACAAACTTACCAAGACACCAAGTGGAACAATCCTCCTTTTTAACTTTAAACCAATGTTAACCTTGTATTTAGAAACTTAGTAATGAACTTGTCAAGAACATCATCAAGATCAATGGAAAGAGCACATTCTCTGTGTATGCCTCTTATCTGCCATATTGGCTGCTTTCAATAAATGTAATTTGGAACTTTGCAACATATATGATGTTCATTTTGCTTCACAAAAGATGTCATTCAGAAACAGCATACAGTATGTGAATGTCTGGTCAAGTTGAGCCAAAATGGATTAGACATTTAATGAATGATCTCGATTGCTGTCACCGATATCAACATACTGCAGAAATTTAATGAAACAGTCAAACCTTGCTATAATTGCGCTTACAACATCATATTACAAGCCCATCATATTTCCAACATTTTAAAACATTTGAACCCTAGAGCACTTGCTGCTCATGAAAATGATTCCATCATATCCTTGGCCAATTTAGTTTGTGACATCAAGTCTGTTGTCCTTTGACTGCTTTAGAATATATTTGGCCAACAATTCTGTGTCAAGTTCATCAGCGACTTCAAAACCAAGAAATCCTTCATGAACTTCTGAATAATTAAAATACTTAAGTACCAAACTCATCTGCTCTTTTTGGATAGGTCTTTAGTTTCATAAATTAATACTGAAAAGTACTGAGCTTCTCATATTTTTTTCTTTTCTTTTGTCCAAAATTATATTATTGAGGATATCCAAAATGACATCTTGTACACTGTGGTGCATATATTTGGCATTTTTAGGTCCTTTACACAGTTGTTCATTTAGGATATGGGAATAGGTCTGTAAGAAGTTTAATATTTCCAAAAAGTTTTCTTTATTTTCAGCTGTGTTTCTTTCAGTATAGATATTGTTTTATACAGCTGTAAGTCTCAATGTATCTGCAAGTATTTTAATGTATTCTGTATTTTTTCCACACTCAGCTGGTGATCTTCATTTAACATAGTCTGCTACTGTTTTCTCAGAAAGCTTCAATTCTAAATAAGCATTATATTTGCAAGTGTTGTTCAAATGTGCATCAGACTGCTTGTTTGTGAGAAATTTACTGTTTTTTTTTTTAGATTCACCCATGCACTTTTCCATATATTGAACCCTCCAGACACAAAAGCTTGCTCACCTTGATATTTAGCACCTGTAGTAAAATGACAACAGACAAAACATTAAACTTTGTCAGTAGATGTGGAATATGCTTTATACCATTCAGGTATGAATTTTCATCCATGAGTCTTTGGAAAGCAGAAGGGCCCATTAAGAAAAGGTTGAATTGGTCTATTGTCGAGCACTCGAGATATGTCAGACGAACCACCTACTCCATGAGTTGACCTAGGCAGAATTGATTTTACACTTCTGCTGCTCAATTTTGTTTAATTCTCCTACACTAACAGGTTCATTCAATATATCTTCATGTTCTTGATCAGAAGTATCCACATTGCTTCTTTGATTCAATACTCTATTTTCTGTTGGGTCTTCGGGTAGGAATACTTCATCTTCAGTCCTTCAGGGTTTCTTGCTTGGTCCACCTGTGTCCCTGATAGATTTATCTTCCTGAGAATCCTGTGATTATGTGGGTTTTTGCAAAATGTTATGATATCCAATTTCTCAATAGTAAGACTTGATGTGTCTACACATGTATGCAGAACATTGACTTCACATAATAATTAACAACAGTAAAATGTATCATTTAAAGATACCTGTGACCTCTTGAACTAGAAACTTGAAGAACAACCTTGCAACAAGTACATAGGCACAAAGTAAAAGCATCAAAGATAGCTTGGTACACAACAAGCCCATGTTTGTCACAACTGCTTATAGCAAAACCAGTCTGAAGACCTTATTTATCAACGTTTCTGAGAAATGGAGGCCTAGGTCTCTTTAACTCTTTTTTTGGGAGGCAATTAAAAATTGTATTTGCTCAGGCAAAGCATAATTAGTTACAGAGCTATCAAAAAGAAAACCAGACCCCTCTTGCAATTCCCGCATATCAATCCTCCCTTTCAGAACTTGCCAATGGTTTTTTCTGACTTTTAATCCTATTGTATGTATAACCAATAGAAAACCAAAGGTTACACTTTTGAAATGGCATATTATTCTACTTTCTTTTTTCTTATTAGACAGTGTGTAATGTCAGCTTCAGTTTTACTTTTTTTCTCATTGGACAGTGTGTAATGTCAGCTTCAGTTTTACTTTTTTCTCATTAGACAGTGTGTAATGTAAGCTTCAATTTTACTTTTTTTCTCATTATACAGTGTGTAATGTCAGCTTCAGTTTTACTTTTTTTCCCATGGGAACATATCAACCAGCTTTGCTTAATTTCTAACGACATTTGTGGCATAGTTTGAAAGCCAGAAATATTGAGATAGTTATAGGACATATTCTGCTTTTTTGCCTGTAATTATTCTGTGATCTTTTGAGCATTATTTAATTAAATATATAATTATTTATACTATTAGTATAAAAAAGTCGGGTTAAAGGGAATACCTGTTATTGTAGGATATATCTGGTTGACTTGTGGCATATAAGAAAACAAAACATCCTGTAGATTGGTAGTGCACGTGTGAATGTGTTTTCTTGTTATACACATTTACATTTGCTCTGTGTATGTAGGATTAAATTTCTGAGGGGAGGATCAAGAAAAATTGGGGGAAGGGTCAATGTCCCCCCCTACCACTTCTCACTACACCTGCTTGTTCTAAGTATTTATTTTATGTAAATGATTTTTGTGATGCCCAACAGTTGACTTGAAGATCTCTTGTTAGAGGCTTGCCATTTGATATTGATGGAATATGTATCACAGGATCATTACTGCATGTCAGAAACCAGCCATGAAAGATAACAATGATCTCAACAGTAATTATTGTAAAGTGTTGTATTTTGAAAGAAACTTAACAATGACAAATCCTTTTTTGATGTTAAAACTTTTAGTTAGTCATTACCTACTACTAAATTAAGTGTAAGTTTTGTATTTCATGTGGTGACATTAAACCATGCAAAGTGTAGGCAATCTGTTAATTTCTTGCACTCTGAACCATTTTTTTTATATTTTTCAAAATGCTAAAATTTACTTTATGAGATTATGTTTATGAAAAGAGAAGAAAAAGGTGTAGTTTTCTTCAACAGTTTTACATGAAAATTATCAAATATAAAACCAAGTTTATCTTTTACAAAAAATTACTCGGTGACTGATCATGTTTTTGCTTGAAAATAAAATTCTAAGAATAATTTAGTGGACGTAGTTTGAAGGTATGTTACTTATTTGATAGAATGATATGTATAGAATGAACTCTACATTTTTACAAATAAAGTTTGTCAAGTTACAAGTCTGAAAATTGGGAAGTTGTCAAAATTTTCTATACTTCATATTTTTAAAACTACGGAAATGAAAATATGTTTGACAGTATCAGGTTTTGATTTCTTTAGAACCACTGGTATGCAACTAGTTTCTGCTGTAGATTTTCGTGGTATTACCTACACCACTACTTTAACAGCATTTTACACTCAACTTTGAAGGTACTGTAAAGAAACATAACTACTACTAACATAGTGCTGCTGACTTTCTTTCACATGGATTTCTAAATCAAGATAAATGACCAAATAGTGAAGTGAACATGTTCATTCAAAGGACAAGTTGCTAAATTGTTTGTCTCAAAAAATACCAGATGTAGTCTCTAGAAAAGCTTTCAAGCAAATTTAGTATGTACTAAGTGGTGTTCAAAAAGGTAGTACTATAGAATTATCAAATCAAAGATAAATAGAAACCAACCAAAGAGATGACAATAGCTATGGATTATTTACCTTTGCTTCATCTACTTCCATAATGTCCAAACAATCAGCCTTCAGCATTACAGAAGTTGATAATGGTTGTGTACTCCAAAAGAAAAGATCAACATCAGAGATAAACTGTAAACTATAGTTTTTCACGGCATGATAGGAAACATCCTACAACTCTTGCAGAATCTGTGGTAGGTACATTCATTATCCACACAGTTTCCTCTAGATTATTTTGTCCTCTGTTCAGTGATGATGTGTCTAAAACTTTTAGAGGAGTTCCCATCCTAACCTCATAGTGATTCTAGTGAAGAGGAAGACTACTGAAGAAAAGTTCTTTGGCAATTTTGGGAAAATATTGTTGTGCAGATATGAAATGAAAAAGAAGACACTAATCCTTTTCAAGAACTCTGCTCTTGGTAGGTACACTGCTACTCAGTATACTTGTATGGTATTAAAGACCAGTTTTAATTGTTTACCTTAATTATACTTTAGACAAAAGTTATTCCTCTATAAAATTAATGATTTCAAGATGTGATTTGTTTAATACTTTTAAAAAGATGACTGCAGGTTAGAGTATTTTAATTTCACAGCTAATCTATTAAAGTGAATTTAACTTTTTTGTTATTTATAAATAGCCTTTTGAAAATGAAAGTAGAGAACTTTTGTCAGTGTTTAATGTTGCATGTTGCTAAGAGCCTAAGGTTTACAAAAGTGAAGAAATCTATTTGTATCTCAGAGGAGAAGTACTTCAATTTATTTCCACTAATGTTTTTCAGAAATTGTTTGCTTATTTTCTTAATAATGTACATACATTGGTTATGCTTCTGTTTATAGAGTTTATTATGTTCAGTGTATTACTTTTAAGTATTTTCTTGGTGACTTACATTTATAATTTTCATAACAAGAACATAGTGGAATTTGATTCAAAAATACTGACCATACATAAATATGTACACTATACCTAGTAAAGAAACAAAACTTATAACAAGCTCATAAATAGCATTGCATGATTGTAAGAATAATGGATTTCCTATAATGTAAAAATACATGTTGAGTTTATTATAATAATAGTATTTGATTTATGCTAGTACTTGAATTGCTTATTTATTTAACTGGCAAACGTCAACCTAATTTTAAATGTATCCACCATATGTCAAATGTTTTTATTGTCTGAGTTATAAGTATTTCATTAATAGTTATTTCCAAAGAAAATAAAGTGTTGGCTTATACATGTATAATATAACAGTTTATTAATTCCACGAAACAAAACCTACTACCACCAGGTGAAGGTATATTTAAACTCTCAGAGAAAAGAACCACTTTTGGAAATGTGGGGTTCCAGAATAGAGTTTGTTGTCACCCTGAATAGATTACAATTTTCTAGGATTTGTCTGACCTAACTACAGTGCTGAGATATTTATCATCCCTACACTTTTTTTAGGAAGTATCTCAGTGATTGCCACATCATTTTGATGATGAGTTGTGACCATTGTTTGCAACTACCTTGGTTCATTTGTCAGCTTCTGCACTTTCCCTAGTCTCTTGGCTGGTATGTTGTTGAGATTTGTTGGATAGAGATGAGTTGCTGGAGGATGTTCGTCTACCTGCTGCCACCCTCTGTGAGATACACGAGGCCATTTTCTCCAATTCTTGATTTTTACAGACATTCCAGAATCTTTGGATTTGAGGGCTGATGTCACCTATCTGCATTCTTCCCTGTTGTTGTTGGCTTCTTGTCTCCTACAGGGGGTTAGTTCCACCCCTAATTGAGTGTCCCAACCCCCAACATCAGCTCCCCCTAGTCCAGTGGTACCCAGAATAGATTCCATCCATATCCATGAGGTTCCTTCATTCCATGGCTATAAGAGATTTGTTGGTCATGGGGGAAGTGGAGAGAGCCATTCCAGTTCTTCCTGGGTTTTACTTCCATCTGTTTGTTTGCCCAATGCTATGGAACAGACTCGCGTCTCCTTCTCCCATGGTTCTTTATCTTTTGGGGATGTGGGCATCACTTAAATCCCTCATTCATTTGGAGTAAAAGCACATGAGATCCCTTCGGTGGTTTCTATGTGACCAGTGGATCATGAACAGTAATCCACTGGGTTCCTTAGTTTCTTTATTCCAGATCAACATCTTCAATCTTGAGTGGTGGTCAGATCGGAACAATACTACAATTGGTGTTCCTCTGCCACCACCTCTTCCAGAGCTCCATATTTTTATGGATGCTTCACTTTTGGGATGGGGTGCATATCTTGTGGGTCAAAACTTCCAGGACCTATGGATGGATAACGAGGTTTCTCTCTACAATAAGTTTTTGAACTTTTTTCTGTTCATAGGGCAATGTCTCAAGGTCTGGAATTATTTAGGGGCAATGTCATCATGCTTCATTCTAAGAATTCTACAGTGGTGTCATATATTTCCTGTCAAGGGGGCATTTGGTCCAGGTCTCTTTGTTTTCGAACGTTGGATCTTCTATATTGGGCCCACTCCCATTATATCATCCTACTAGATTGCCAGGTTCTGGGAGTGATGTATTTGATGGCAGTTATTTCAACCATACCAGATTCTCCAGACAGAATGGATGCTTCATTGAGGGGTTTTCCATTGGATTTGCTTTCGGTTCAGGACACTGATGATTGATGCATTTGCCACTCATTGGAACACTCAACTACTGGCATTTTGGTTTCCAGTACCTAACCCTTGGGTATTGGTAATAGATGCATTCAGTCAGAACTGGACTGGATTACACCTATATGCCTACCCATCTATTCATCTGTTACCCAGAGTCCTAGCAGTGATTCATTCAATTCCTAATTATGTTCTGTTGGTAGCACTGGATAGGCCAGCTCAACCCTGGTTTCTGCTTCTGCAATACCTTCAGGATTATCCACGTCTTCCACTTCCTCTTTGTCCATCTCTGTTGAGGCAGCCATGATCTGACATCTTACACCCAGCCATCCCAAAGTTCAAGCTTCATGCATGGAGGTTATGCAATCTTTTGCACGGTATTAGGGTTTACCTCCTAAGGTTGACATATACTTGTCTCAGTCTCTGCATTATCCCACAGTAGATATTTATCAACAGAAATGGCACACATATTAACAATGGCGTATTGTGAGGTGGTTGAATCCATTTCATCTAGAAGTGCCAATCATAGCTCAGTTTTGCATCTTCCACAATCGCCCTATATCAGGCATTCTTATCAACTACCTTTAGATACTTGAAGAGATGGAAATTTTTTGAGTTCCCAGTGCTCTCTAGCCTCCTCAAGTCAATTCACATTCTTCATCCCAAATAACTATTTCAGTTATCTAACTGGGATATGAAGGTGGTATTACATACACTTTCTCATGTACTATGTATCATCTTTCCCATAAGGTTTATTTTTTGTTGCTGCTGGCTTGCAGGTGTTGCTAGTCATAGTTGTTTGCGCTGCATGTGCACAGGATGCTTTATCATTCTACCTACATACTTCTATACCCAGACAGGTCCTTCTTACCTTAAAAACTGGGAACCAGGGAAGGGGATAAATCCTATTCACTGATTCATCTGACTGCTATTTCTCACCTCTGTGACCAATCAGATCTCGATTGTTTGTTATGTTTAGTGTGGGTCTTGAAGTGTTATGTTGCCTGCACTGAAACTTTTGAAGGTGCTAGACAAAGGTTTTTTTATTCATTGTGACCCTCCAGTTTCCTGTGATTTATCCCTTGTTACCTTGACGAGGTGGATATGAAAACTTATCCATATTGCTTATTCTGGGCTGTCTTTGGAAGTGAGGAGACTTCTGTGAATCACGTCTCATCAAATTCATCACATTTCTATGTCTTAGTGGCCTGGTTGAATTACCCACTGGAGAACATTGTGCGGGCTGGTATGTTGATCTCCCCAATACTTTTATCTCACATTATTTGTCATGATCTGGCAGTA